CGTGCCAAAAGGGAGCATCCGAACGAAACAGATGCCGAACCCATGCAAGTAGAAGATGACTCACCATGGCAGGAAGTGTTCGATACTCTGAAAAAAGAGTTGCCCAAATCAGGTATTCAAACATGGACCAATGTCATGCACACACTTTTCAAGAGTGTTCGAGCTGTTTTGCCTGGATGTCAAATTGGCGCAATCAAAGCAGGGAAAGGCCTGGACCGCTACATTCCTGGCGAAGAAGTCTGGAAGACCGAGCTTCCCATGAGACACACCATAGTCATGAGAAGATTTCAACTGAATATAGAAGACCTAGGAACAGAGGAATGGACCAATCTGTCAAGAAACCAGCAGATACGAAGAGCTCGACCGAGCCATATAATGATGTGTATTTTTCATGAGAAGCCCAATTCAGACCGTAGCCATGACTCCGAGCTTTTGCAACCAGCCGAACAGCCTGCCAGAGTTCCCGCGATTCCGGAAGAAGCATCCGGAATAGATGCAACCCAAGTGGACGTTCCCACATGGACTCCCATGTCAGCTGCAGTTTCTGGTCCAAAATTTTTGGCACTCAACAAACGAGAACAAGGTATCGTACAGAAGCTCCATTGTAATCTTGGACATCCAACTGCAGAGAAGCTTTCAAGACATATGTTCGAGTCCAATGCACTACGACACCTCGCTGAGGGAGCCCGGGACTACACATGTCCCAGTTGTGCAGAGAGAACAGGTCCGAAGAAAACAACACCTGGGAACTTGAAAGAACCACAGGAGTTTAATGAACGAATATCCATGGATGGATTTGAGTGGTCAGGTCAAAGGGGTTTTCATGTTCATGTCTTGCATATTTTGGATGAAGCTACTAGGTTCCACCTAGGAAAACGAACTGTGCGAGATAGCCAAGCCTTTGTTCAGTGTGTTAAGCAGCTTTGGTGTGACTGGGCCGGTTCTCCTCAACACGTTTCCCATGACGAGGGAGGGGAATTCATGAGCCAAACATGGAAGGACTTCCTACAGGAAAATGGGATCCATGCAATAGTGTCAGCAGCCCCATGGCAACGTGGCCGGATTGAAAGGCATGGAGGAACTGTGAAGGAGATGTTAGATCGGATTGACCACCATAAGCCAATAGAAAATATGCAACAGTTCGACGAAGCCCTGAGACAATGCTTCAGAGCAAAGAACTCCATGTCTGTGATAGCCGGTTTCAGCCCTGAGCAAGCAGTCTTAGGAAAAGCGGCCAAACTGCCAGCCTCAATAGTTTCCGACGAGGAAACCAGTGCACACCTGCTGAGCCAAGGATCTGATCTTGCGTCAGATCGCTTTAGGGAAAAGCTTGAACTAAGGGCAGCTGCAAGAGCCGCATTCTCTCAGGCCGACAACAGTGACGCCCTGAGACGTGCGCTACACCACCAATCTCGTGGGACAGAACATAACTGGGCATGCGGACAGTTGTGTATGTACTGGGACAAAAGACGATCCCCAAACATGCTAGAGAAAGGCCGTTGGAATGGACCCGCTCAAGTTGTTTGCCAAGAATCACGCACCATAATTTGGGTAAACCACATGAACAGGTTGTTAAGATGTGCAAAGGAAAACCTTCGTCCAGTTTCTATGAGAGAATTTCAACAACACTCAACATTCCTCCAAACATCAACTCAAGAACAACTTCAAAGAATGGCCAGCCGACTCCAAGATCAACTCAAGTCCCGCAGTGGTTTGTTCCAATATGCTGATTTGAGTCTACTTAATAGTGAAGATCAACCAACTGAAGAAAATAATCTCCAATCCCCCAGTAATAACTCTCAGACCTCCAAACAGCCGGAGGAAGAACCCATGCGCCGGATGTCCCATAATTTGCAAAGCGTTGCAGAACAGCTTGCAGAGGCGACCAACACGCCCATTCCAGATTCCCCAATGTCTGCCGCTCCAGTAGAGCCTGCGACCGAAGAGAACGTGCAATCCGAAGAAGCAGCACCATCAACAGCATCTTTTGACTCTGATCAAGAGACCAGTGGAAATGACATGGAACCAGTGTATCATGTAACAATGGTTGAAAACGGGAATCATAATGACATAGTCCTTGAAGATGAAGAAACAATATGGTCCCCTAAAGATGACTTTGAAAGTGTTTGCACTTCGTTTGCTTTTGACGTTCCTCAACAGCAGTTGCGCAGATTCCTCAAGAGGCCAGAGGAACATTTTCCATGCCTGATAGCCGCAGCCAAGAAATCTCGCAATGAGGTCTCTTACAGTGACTTGACAGCCACCGAACAAGAGCTTTTCAAAAGGGCGAAACAGAAAGAGCTTAACTGTTGGTTGGACACAAACACTGTCAAGGCCATCATGCGGAATCGTATCCATCCTTCACGGATCCTTTCCTCAAGATGGATCCTCACCTGGAAGGAGGATGCAACTATGCCAGGAGGCCGCAAGGCAAGGGCAAGACTTGTGGTAAAAGGGTTTCAAGACCCCGACATAGGAATAGTAAGTTCAGACAGCCCCACAATGACCAGAGATGCACGTATGTTGTTGTTACAGACAGTAGCCAGTAAACGATGGGTTGTACAATCTTTCGATATTACAACTGCTTTTCTTCGGGGAAAATCAGATGAAAGAGAGCTTGCCATGGAAGCCCCAATAGAAATGAGAGACTTGATGGGAATGACCAAGGATCAAGTTTGTCTCTTGCAAGGGAACGCTTACGGCCGTGTGGATGCCCCACTTCTCTTTTACCGTGAATTTCGAAAAAGATTAGAAAATATAGGTTTTCAAGCTCATCCTCTGGACAATTGTCTTTTCTTACTCCGGAATGCTCAGGACCCAAATCAACTCGATGGAATTTTGGGAACTCATGTTGACGATGGAATCGGGGGAGGTAACACCAATTTTGAAAGGGCTCTCAATGAACTACAAAAAACTTTGCCTTTTGGTACACGTGAACAGGGTCGATTCAAGTTTACGGGGTTAGACATCGAGCAACTCCCGGACTTTTCGATTAAAGTGAACCAAGGTAAGTATGTCAATAAGATAAGTCCTATAGATATACCAAAACTGAGGAGAAGTCAACCCGAGGAGAAAATAACTTCTCAAGAACTACAGCAACTTCGGGGGTTATGTGGAAGCCTGCAATACGCAGCTGTACATTCGAGACCCGATATAGCTACAAAAGTTGCCACACTTCAAAAAGGTATAACCAGTGCGACGGTAGAAACCCTACTTGAAGGAAACAAAGTGCTGCGAGAAGCCCAGGCTTTCAGCGAAACCTCGGTAGTGGTGCGCCCTTTACCAATGGACACAGTGAGCTTTGCCAGCTTTGGCGACGCCAGTTTTGCGTCGGCGAAACAATTAACAGCCCAGCAGGGACTTTTCATTATGGCCTGCACCCCAAAAATGGCCAAAAATGAAACGACAGAATTCTCGCCGATTGTCTGGCATTCAAAGCAGATAGGCAGAGTGGTACGGTCCACCCTGAGCGCAGAGGCATATGCCATGTCGTCCTCGTTAGATAAACTGACCTGGATCAGGTGTATGTGGGGATACATAAAAAGACCCGACTTTGCATGGCATAAACCAGAAACTGCCTTGAAAGAAGAACATCCAGGACTGATGATCACCGATTGCAAATCATTGTTTGACCTCATCACAAAGAACGCTACACCAAATTGTCAAGAATGGAGGACAACGATAGAGGTGATGCTTTTGAAAGAGCAATCAAAAGATCATACAGTTTGCAGATGGATTTCAACAGCGATAATGCTGGCTGACTGCCTTACCAAGGCCATGGATGCAACGTTTCTCAGAACCGTTTTGCAGTTGGGGAAGTTTAGGATATATGACGAAGATCATACACTCCGACAAAACTCAAATAGAAAGTATGGGGTAACATGGGTTAACAATCGAATATAAAAGTTTAACCAGTGTGAATTGCACCTGATTCCAGTCACCTTCGATTGTCCAGCCAGTGTTAGGGGAAGCATCCATCACATTTGCAAGCAGCACCTTCCTGCGACCGTGGACCGGTGGCTCAAGGCCAACTTTGTGAGGAGCACATAGGGGAAAAAGCAATGTGCGGCCGTTGGTGAGTTCAGAAGCTAGGAAGCTTCGCTAGGCATTTGGGTGTGGACATCCTGGACAACTTCTTGGGGATTTTCCTTTTGGTGAAACAGGTCTAGAAAGGCCTTGGTGGAGATAGGAGGCTACCAGTGGACTGCTTCGGCAGTTACATGTATGTATGTATGTATGTATGTATGTACGTACGTACGTACGTACGTACGTATGTATGTATGTAGGTAGGTAGATAGGTATGTACGTATGTATGTATTATGTATGCATGTATGTATGTATGTATGTATGTATGTATGTATGTATGTATGTATGTATGTATGTATGTATGTATGTATGTATGTATGTATGTATATGTTTGTGTATGTATGTTTGTATGTATGTATGTATGTATGTATATGTTTGTGTATGTATGTATGTATGTATGTATGTATGTATGTATGTAGGTAGGTAGGTAGGTAGGTAGGTATGTATGTTTGTGTATGTTTGTGTATGTTTGTGTATGTTTGTGTATGTTTGTGTATGTTTGTGTATGTATGTATGTATGTATGTATGTAAGTATGTATGTATGTACGTACGTACGTACGTACGTACGTGTGTGTGTGTGTGTCTGTATGTGTGTGTGTGTGTCTGTATGTGTGTGTGTGTGTCTGAATGTGTGTGTGTGTGTGTTTGTATGTATGTATGTATGTATGTATGTATGTATGTAGATAGAATAATATAATATATATAACCTTATATAACTTATATAACTATGTTTTCCACGTATGCCAACGTATTCTTTAGTGTGGGTTGGTGTAGTGTATCCAAATGTTAATCGTACTTTGGAGAACCTGCCAGCTTAGATTTCGACCCCAGGTGTGACTGACAATGACAGGAATGGCATGCAGATGTCTAGCGATGGCTCCACTCTGACCGAGGCGGCCAAGATCTGCCAAGGCCTCTTGTTTCGTTCTCGCCATTTTGCCGGATTCTTCCGCCTACAATTCTTTGCAAGAGTTGCTTCAAATTGTTTCAACATGTTCAACTGCAACAATTCGGATCCGTAAACGTGGCCATTCTAAGATGTTGACACCGCAGAATCCACAACCGCGAGCTTGAAGTCTGAAAATCGAGGGATCTCCTCAGTGCCACAAAACTTAGCCAACGGTCAACATCGGTCAACTGGGTCAACTCAAGGATCTTAAAGTGGTACATATTGGTACATGTAACAATATGTAACATGTAACTTCACAATCCTTTACATTGCTGCATGGAGTAAGCAGCTTTCAGATGCTTTCAGCATTTTGTCGTGTTGCAAAAGTCTGCGCCATGCCTTGATACATCTTGATGCTATCTCTGGCCGAAATCCATCAAAATCACTAGTGTCATCCAGGTAGACACGTAGTAGCCTCTGTCACGACTGTGTCATTTAATGTCATTTACGGCAAGAAGTCCCCGATACTCATCCGTTCTCATTTCACTGCTTAACAAAGTCCGGTCGCCAACTTTTGGCGAATCCACGGCTTTCCTTTGGTGCCCTTGAATCAATGAATCACCGCAACTTTACCTAAAAAATACCTAAAGTGATGACATGTGAGAATTGTCTTGCATTGGATAGTGTCTTTGCATTGTTGGAATCCGTAGCGGTGTAATGTCATGACATGCCGTGCTAGGTTGTGATATCTTTGCTACTTTGATCACATTGCTTTGGATTATAGAAGAATCGCACAATGTTCTGTTCGTCAACTGAATTTTGTAGGCGTGATGCTTCTTCGTGAAATATCATCATGTATACACACACCATGTGGGCATCAAAGGTCATAGATGCTTAGGGTGTGGTATGTGTTGTGAGTTGAGTCTCTTGTTTACGTCATGCCATTCTACACATTACTATCGTTATTCAGATCATATTGTGTGTGCGCGTGTATGTCTGTGTCCCTCATGTGTTGTGTTCCGTAATATACCATAGTATGGTAGCCACATGTGGAGAAATACCTCTCCACGGCCCCATATTGCTTGGCGTAGTATAAGTCTACCATGTCACAACACGCCAGGTGTCGATCTCATCCAGCACCATGGCGAGGCCCACTTTACATTGCAAAAATTGATCGAATAAGTTCCAAAATGTCTCAAAGGTATCCAAAGGTGCAAAACTTTGCGAAGGAGTCGTCAATACGTTGTCAATACAGTTGTCACTCCAATTGTAACATGTTGTGGCTGTGTGACACTCTGCAGTTGCTGATGTGACACTGTTGGAATGGGGTGCTTGGGTGCTTGGGTGCTTGGGGTGAGAAGGCACCTGTTCGCCATTAGATTTCTACGGTGATACAACTGAGCCTGCAGCGGACGCTCTGGTGATGCACACGTATGCGCATGCATCTGGCACTACAACTGAGCAAGTTCAGGGACTGTCGGACAGTGTGTTCTGAGGTTTGCTATTCGAAGAAACTCTCTTACTCTTGGTATCTCTTGGTATCTCTTGGTCATCTGGAACCTCTGCCTGTCTGCTTCAGAGACTAGCTCAACCAGAATCAGGACTGCACATCTGTGCGGCACGTTTTGCTCGGAGAATGATCTGTCCCACAAATGCAGTCTTTAGAAATCGAATGTGGCATTGGTTGCGTGATTTCACGCCAAAGCAACTGTCTGCAAAGTGAAACCTATTGAAACCTTGTCTTATCTGATTATTATCTTGTATTTCCAGGGCATACTGCCCGAATCCAGCTATCCAGGTGCTCTATCATGAGGCAACAGAGATTGCTTGCGAACCCGAATGAGACGTGTCAACAAACTATAACAAACTCAAGTCACCAGAAGCAAACCCAAACGTTCAGAGGTTGAGAGAGAGAGAGAGAGAGAGAGAGAGAGAGGGAGCTTTTTCTAGTCCTAGATTCCTAGATTGCTAGATCCTTCTCAACCACAACCCCATCATTGGTACCGTGACAGCCTCACCATCTGTGTCCACATGTGTCCACTGTGTCCTGGGGCGCACAAGTGAATCACCCACCCAAAACAGATCTCTATTGGACATCGTGGTCAGAGATATGGGGCTGAAGCTGAAACCCTGGGAGGTGCTGAGCCTGGGAGCTTCACTGAGGAAATTGTGTTCATCATGGAATCATGGAGCTTTCCTTTAGTTGAAGGCATTCCTTCTCAGACCCCAAACCCTTGTGGCTCAGCAAAGCACCCCGGCTCCTGCACTCATCAAATGCCACCCACTGGAATGACAAGCTTTCCATCGCCTTGCTCAGTTCTCTGAGATACCAAGTTCCAGTAACAATATTAACAATAACATGTTTTTCATGTCATTTTCGATCTGCTACCGTTCACAGCATCGTCACTACTGGTACCATCGCCCTGCATGGCCCTGCCAAGCCTCCGGAGAAACTCAGCGGCCGACCGGACACCGGGCCGCCGCCGGTGCCGCCAGTGCCATCGCCACCCCAACGTTGCAACTCGGAGCCTCAACCAATGAAACAGGATGAAACAGGAACAATACATAACAATACCCAAAATCCGGGCATCTCACTTGCGATTCAAGCTCCAAATTTATCCAAAATGCGATGTTCCAGGAGGTTCTTGATATTTCATGTATCTTCCTGATATCTCTACCGTATCTCTACCAAATTCTTTGAATGTTCGACACGATATGGGTTTCATTGTGGGCGTACGTCAGGGGCATCTGAAGTTTGACTTCCCTACCTCGATGTGGAACGACGCCGACGGCATGTTCAGGACCTTCCATCTCTGTGTCAGCGATGAAGCCGTCATCCTCGGGAGGAACAGTGGACAAAGGATATAGCTATTTAAATTCATATGTCCATATGCCAGATTCAAACATGAACGTTTAAATATACTTAATATTGTTTAGCTATGTATATATATATATATGTTTATTATAGTGTATTGTATCATATTATATTATATTATATTATATCATATTAAATTATCTTATATTATATTATAAGAAAATATATTATATTATATTATGTTATATTGTATTGTATTGTATTGTTTTATGTGATAATATATCATATGGTATTATATTATGATATAATATATTATAGTATATTATGATACAATATATTATATTATGTTATATTATATTATGTTATATTATAATATTTTATATTTATATTATATTTTTATATTTCATTATATTATATTTCATTATATTATATTTCATTTTATATGATATTATATTTCATTATATGATATTATATTTCATTATATGATATTATATTTCATTATATTATATTATATTCCATTATATTATATTATAATATATTATAATATATTATATTATAATAGATTATATTATAATAGATTATATTTTTGTATTATATGATATTAAATTATATTATATTTCATTATAATATATTTTATCATACTATATTCCATTATATTGTATTATAATATATTATATTATAATATAATATATTATATTTTTGTACTATATTATATTATTTTACATTATATTATATTATATTGTAGGTTATATTATAATATTTTTATAGTTCGGTATCTTACAATATTTTTTATATTAAATTAATTATATTATGTTATATCATATCAAAATGTATGTTGTCATATTATATTACATTATTGTGTTATATTATATGTTCATATTTGTTGTCATGGGTGGCATGTGAGAATGTGATCTTGGAAATGATTGAAGAATGGTACTTTGTATCTGGCCGCCGCGTCTACGTTCACTAACCCATGGAAGCCGGACACATCTGGCAGTGGCACCAAGTAGCGTCGTCAAGGGTACCGAAGAGGGTATCATCCCCGCTGCAAGAACTGAGTAGCGCCTCTCGAAAAGATTGAAGCGGCAACATCTCCTCGTTCCTGGAGAGGTTGAAGGTGGAGAGAGTCGATATCTGAAACAGGGACTATCAAGAAAATAATAACACATAATCCGCCGGCCTGCCGGCGTGTCTTGTGGATCTTGCTCGTTCGTAGTTGTGCTGTCTGTTTTGTCTTTGTCTTTGTCTAGACTTTCCCGGCGCGGATTCTTGCCTCGTCTAACTTGAACCCACCCACCCCTCCCCCCGTGGCAGGGAATAATTGGTATAATGCGATTGTGGTCCTTGAAGATATATTGCAAACAAAATGAAGCGCCCTATGCCTTGATCATTCCAACACAACAAAGATTTACAGCACATGTTATATAAAACAAGATTGAGCAAGAACTTGTGAAGGCAGGCTGCAATCTCAACTAAATGTTTTGAGCTACCTGTATGGGTTTCTTACTCCTGTGAAAGAGTTGCATGATTTTGCTTCCATCTCCGGGCTTGCGTTCCTGGGCTTTGCTTTTCTCCCAGTACACTCTCCTAGGATGCTATGGGTGATCGGGGCCGCGTGATTCTACACTTGTCTCCCACTTGCGTCTCACTGTCTCCAAGTAACAAGTACGCTATGGATGCTCTGGGCTGCATGGTTCCACACTTTTCTCCCCCACTTCTGCCATTTCTCTCCACCTGTCTCGCAGTGTGCTGTGGGTGCTTTGGGCCGCATGATTCTGCTTGTCTCCGACTTTTCTCCGACTTGCCTCCGACTTGCTTGCCATTCCTTGGAAGCGCTGGGTCGCATGGTGCTACAATTGTTTCCAACTTATCTCCCAGTATGCTGTAGGTGCTCTGGGCCACATGAACCTACACTTCTCTCCCATATACGCTCAAGGTGGTCTGGGCCACCTGAATCTAAACTTATTTCCCTTGTCTCCCACTTGTCCCCCACTGTCTCTAAGTACGCTGTGGATGCTCTGGGCCGCATAATTCTGCACTTGTATCCCACTTGTCTGTGGATGCTTTGGGCCGCATGATTCTGCGTTTGTACCCCGCTTGTCTCCCACTTGTTTCTGACTCTGGGTGCCCTGGGCCACATGATTCTGCACTTGTCTCCCCCTTTTCTCCAACACTTGTCGCCAGGTTGCCCGGGTGCTCTGGGCCGCATGAGTCTACGCTTGTCTCCCGTGCTGCACCTGTCTCCTAGTTGTCTCCCTCTCCCAGGCTCTGCGCTGGATCGACTGTCTCCAAGTTGGCTGCCTGGTTCTCCGCTTTCGAAGAAAGGTGTAGATGCTTTGGACCTCCTGATTCTAGACTATCTCCCACTTGTCTCCCAATGTGCTGTAGGTGCTCTGGGCCGAATGACTCGCGCTGCGGGTGCTTTGGGCCCCATGATGCTGCACTTGCCTCCCACTTGTGTCCCAGTATGCTGTGGATGCTCTGAGGTGCATGGTTCTACACTTGTCCCCCACTTGTCCCCCACTTGTCCCGCGCTTGTCTCCGACTGTCCTGCTGTATGCTTTGGGTTCTCTGGGCCGCCCTGATTCTACACTTGTTTCCCGCTTGTTTCCCGCTTGTTTCCCGCTTGTCTCCCACTGTTTCCCAGCATGCTGTGGGCGCTCTGGGCAACATGACTCTGCACTTGGTGACGGGCCAAAAAATTTAGCACTACAAAGCACAGTTTATATATATATATATATATTTGTGTTTAGCGTGAGCATTATCCATCTAATTATTGGGGTTATTTTGGCCTATACGCGCTTGTCTCCTGTTTGTCTCCGACTGTCGCCAAGTACAGTGTTGGTGCTCTCTGGTCAGCATGACTAACGCTTCCGCTCGTCCCCCACGGTTTCCAAGTGTGCTGTATGATCTTGGCCGCTTGGCTTGCACTTTCCAGATGTCTTGTCGATGCTCTGGGCCTCTGGGCCGCGTGGCTCCACACTTGCCTACCCGCCTACCCCTTGTCTTGCAGATCCGGCTGATTCCAGAATTTCCTGCCTGTCTCCAACTTGGCTCCCAGCTGTTTCCCATCTGCAAATGCTCTCTGGATGCTTTGGGCTGCACTTGCCTCCCACTTGTCTACCAACGTCTCACAGTATGCTGTGGATGCTCTGAGCTGCATGGTTCTACGCTTGCCCCCCACTTGTCTCCAACTGGGCCCCCCTGTGTCTGCAAGAGTATTGTGGGTTTTGAGCCGCACAATTCTACACTTATGTCCCGCTTGTCTCCCACTTGTCTCCGACTGTCTCCCAGTATGCAGTGGGTGCTCTGCACTTTTCCCGTACTGTCGATACTTTGGATGTTCTGTGCCGCATGAACCTACACTTGTCTCCTACTGTCTCCAAATAAGTTGTGGGTGCTCTGGGCTGCAGGAAGCTACACTTGTTTCCCTCTTGTCTTCTACTGTCTCACAGTACGCTGTAGTGTGGGTGCTTTAGGCTGCTTTTTATTTTGGTTTGTCTCCTACTTGTCTCCCAGTATGCCATGCTGCGCGATTTCAGAAGAAGTTTATTGCCGGGTTCGTTGGTGCATCATTGGGGTGGTAGGAGCGTGCCTTCCACTTGTTTCCACGCGTTTCACATTTGCTTCCCAAGTTTGTTCCTGTGATTTTGTTCTTTGGGACCGCAGACTTTACTTTGCTACTTGTCTCCCACTTGTCTACCGCTTCTTTTCCTGTCTGCGGAGGAATTGGGACCGAATATTTCCTTTACTGTATCTCCTACTTGTCTCTCATTTGTCGTTTGCTTCTGTCTCTGTGCTGTCCTTAAAGTGGAAAACATGATTTGTCTACCGCTGAACCCCACCTTTCTCCCACTTCCGTCTCTGTGCTGCGGCCTTTGGTCCCCTGTTTGTGTTCCAATTTCTTTGATTATTTCCTTTCTTACATGTATATGGTCTCATGGCAGGCACCAATTCGGCGCCTGATGTTTCCTTCTTCTGTTTGGGCTCAGCGCTGTATAACTTTTGTTACTTGTTACTTGTTGCTGGCGGGATGGAATGGATGGTTCCGAGCAGCTTTTGTGGTTGCATTTCTCCCTTGCTTTGTCTCCTACTTCTGATTTATGCCCTTCCATCTTTTATCATTTCCTTAAACTTGTATCCTTGCATAGTTGCACCCCATCAACACCTCATCTTTGCAACATGGGCGGAAAGGATGGTCGTGATTTCTTGCAACGCAACGAGGATTGACTTCTACGTTGCCTCTTCAGAACGCCCGAGAAAGAATTTCTTGGTAAGGAGCCTTTCCCTTAACATTTCATCTCCAGCGTGTGTTTGGCTGCTAGGTGGAAGCGTCGCCTGTTCAGGGGAGGTCGGGCAAGGTCCTGTTAACTATTGTCCTGCCTTTTGCATTCCTCTTCGTTTAGTGTGCTTACTGGGGCCCGTTAGGCAGAAAGAGGGAAGAGAGACAGGTTTGGTTTTTCCACACCTGCCAGTGAAGGTCTCCAGATTTTAACAAGGGTACAACTCCTCCTCCTCCTTCTCCTCCTCATCTCCGCCCTTGCTGTGCCTTGTGACCCGAACCCCCGAACCTCACCGCCAGCCCCGGAGGCTGCGGAGCACGCCTGGACCCGAACCCCATGTCGCGAGCTCCGAATGGACCTGTCGGCACGCCTCTGCCCGAACTCCATACCGCCAGCTCCGGATCCTGTGGACGAGCACGGCTGGACCCGAACACATGTGAGATAGAATGCCGGAAAGATTGCCAGATAGAATGCCAAAACATATGTCAGACAGAATGCCAGAAAGAATGTCAGAATATATGTCAGGTATTCCACGTAGAATGTCAGAATATATGTCAGGTAGAATGTCAGGTAGAATGTCAGCATAGATGCCAGAGAGAATGCCAGAATGAATGCCTTAAAAAATGCAAGAAGGAATGCCAGAATATATGCCAAAGTATGTCAGCATGGATGCCAGATAGATAGAGTGCCGGATAGACTGTCAGAAAAAATGCCAGATAGATTGCCAGGTAGAATGTCAGATAGAATGTCAGAATATATGTCAGATAGAATGCCAGGTAGAATGTCAGATTAGATGTCAGGTAGAATGCGAGATAAAATGTCAGATAGAATGTGACATAGAATGCCAGATAGACTGTCACACAGAACGTCAGAATATATGTCAGCCAGAGTGCCAGAAGGAAAGTCAGAATAATATGTCAGGGTGGGGATCACTCGAAATAAAGTAATTCTTATTCCCGTTTGTTTTTGCTGGGGTGGTACGTCTGGCCCTTTAGGGAAGGCTTCTCTCAGTTACCTTCTTCCCCTTTCCATGTTCGTGCAGTGCATCTACTACAGTTGTCTTTCGTTGCAGGTGTGGAAGGGTTGGCCCCAAAAGTTCATTGAAATAAGATGCCTTCTCTCATAGTAGCTGAGGTGGAAGGGCGGGCCCGACTATCTTCTCCAATCTTCCGTTTTACATTTCATCTCTTGCATCTGTTTGTTGTTGCTGGGTGGAAGGGCCGCCTCTTCAGGGGAGGTTGGGCAAGCTCCTCTCAACCATCGTTTTGGCATTTGCATTCCTATGCCTTGAGTTGGTTATGCTTGCGGAGGCCCGTCATGTGCTTCCCTCTCCTGGGTCTCCTGCAAGTCTTACAGCAATGACTCTTGCAATGTCTTGTTCCTGTTTGTTGTTTGTGAAGTGGAGGGGCCTTCTATCCATTGTCCATCCTCCCCTTTTCAAGTTTATTTCATGTCTTGTTCCAATTGTTGCTGCTGCGTCGGGTGGGTTGGCTCTTCTCGGGAAGTTGGGCCATGTTCTCTCAACGATTGCCTTGGCATTTGCATCGGTTATATTTTAGTTGTTTGTGTTTGCTAGCTGCTAGGGTTTGTCAAGGAGAAAAACGGTGTAAATATGTTCCCTTCCTTTGCCTTTCTTTGATTATCTCCTGTTTTAGGGTGGAAGGGCTGGCTCTTCAGGAAGGGTTGGGCTGGGGTGGAAGGGCCGCCCCACCAAGCAGAAGGAGGAACATGTCCTTTGGAAATAACATTCTCTCTTTTGGTCCTCTTTCCTCCTCCTGGTGTTACAGAGGCGGAGGGGTTCGCGCTTTAGGGAAGGTTG